TTAGCTCATGTTTCTTGAATATTACTTAGAGATAAACACACCAAGATGAGGAGTACGTGCGTAGAGTCGTTGAGTGAGCTTTAAAGTGGCGTAATTTTGTACAGCGTTAAATACTGCAGCAGAGGCCACTGTAAGCTGCCATATGGGTAGCCAGCCTTCAGAAACAGGTAGAACTAGAGCGGAATTTGATTTCAGAAAGAGCCAGATACTAATGGAAAAAAATACTTGCACGACTTGAGAACGTCCATCGCGGTGAATGGAAAAAGTCAAAGGTGCTTAGTAATCAATAGACTGAAAAGTTGCCCCGGACGTACTAGACTAGCCGCATGCTGCAATGAACGTTGACGCTGACCATGGGCGGCTTCTTGCTGAGGGTCTAAATACTGGTCCTGCACTGAGGAAAGTGTCCAGCAATTCAAGTATTTCCAGTCAAGCAAGCGGAGCCAGCCTCAACCGCCGACCCAGGACCCGTGGTCGTTCTCGAACGATAACAGGCAATTCGAACACGAAGCCAATCACTGCTAACACAGACAACCATGACGAGCTAGTGCCTAACAACACGCGTCCTGTGGCGGCGGACACAAGCCGGACGGAAGAAGCAAATATGGACGAGCCGATAAGAATGGTACGTTAAATGAACGTTCATAAACTAAAAGTTTACATGGACTGACAAGTTGTAGACCAAAGCTGCAAAACAGGCCTCACAGCTGGCTGCTATAACGACTAGACCACCTCCATCTGCATTTTCCCGAGTGCCACTTTCCCAAATTGATTCAGGAGAGGGCGCTGGAGTGAATGTCCGAGACTCCATGATCACGCAAGAGTCGGAGCAAACAAATAATTCTACACTCTACCCACTGTCATCTTTATCCTCCGCGACTGCTTCTCCTCGCTCTCCTACGTATTCAGAACGCTCTATGCAGATTGAGGATTTCAAATCTTTTGACGACGACGACGTATCCTACCGCCTTCGACTTCTAGTCAACAACAATTACTTCCTCCCTCCCGCTCATTCTAAACCACTTCCGACTCAAATGACTCCTACGACTAACCCGAACGCGTCGAAAAAGCCGGCCGCACCAACATTCCTCGACTATTTTCGGATCGGCAGATCGAAATCCAAGCCTCCGACGCCAACTTCTGAAAGCGGCACTGGCCAGGCTCTAACTCCTGCATTACGAACAACCTCGGATGCCACTGCGGTCTCAGGACTTCCAATGCAGATGCAAACTGCAGCATCTACATCTTCCGCTCCTCCTCGTACATCCAATTCGGCTAGACCCGCAGACCGCTCAGGTCGCGTCGTAGTGGTAAGAGAGAAAATGGCCGACTTGGCTAGTGCAGCCAAACAAGCTGAACTTGATATGAAAGTCCGTTCGTTACAACGCGATTCTCGTCGCGACCAGGTCGTCAATTTACCATCTGTAGACGACGTAATAGATCCTACAGATGCAGTGGATTTACCGCTCCCCTCCTCAGCATATCCTTTTGCTGTTCAGACATCGACTTTACATGGTCTAGGCGTCAATGAATCAGTAGGTGCTGCTGCTCTGGCGTCTCGTCTGCCACCTCCTCGAGATAGAAGTCCAGCGCTATCCTCCATGGGTCCGGATGATGATGATGATGATTGGAAAAGGGCATTACTAAAGGCTGCTGTTGGACATTCATTTGATAATCTCAATGTTGCCGCGGAAGGTGCACTTACTCGATCTCCCAGATCTCCTTCGTCGTCTATAATGTCATCCTTGCCACCAGTATCAGCTACAACATCACCTGTACCGGCAATCTCCAACTCGGTCGCAGCAGGAAGAATCAATAAAAAGATCATCAGCAGTCCTATCCACCTAGATACCACATTGACCAAGTCCCCTAGTATCCACAGTGCTAGCTACATCCAAACCAATACTTTTACCAACCACCCTCGACCTCGAGGATGGTCATCTCCCGCTTCTCCAACTTCACCTTCTGCTGCACCTTCACCCATACCCATTCGTACCGAGACACCCTTGACTCTGGTGCCGCTTATGCCTCCTCCAAGGTCTTCCAGATCGCCCAAGTCTCCCAAAAGAGAAATTATTAATTTGGTGTATTCAATCTCGCAAACTGATCTGACTGAAACAGCAGGCAACGGTTTGGCAGCTGTTGCGGCATCGTCCTCACAAGCTGAGACTGGAGCGAGCACTAGCCATGCATATACGATGACTCCGCCACCTGGACACTGGAGAAGCGGAGCAATAGGCATGGCGCCGCGGGAATCGTCTGAGTCATCTCAGTCGTCATTCAGACCTAGGGACTCATCTGACAGGGAAACAAACTCGAGTAGTACGAGTCAGAGTAGGCGTACAGGTGGAAGTGGCGCAGATGAAGGCGGATATGTCGAGACCCCAGATTCATCGTCTGTGTATTCTACCAATTTGCCCGACGAAGCTAGTTTTCCGAGGGCTACTTCGTCTATGTCTACGGTTACTTCGACAGCACACTCTCCCACTACCTCTGCGTTCCAGGATGCCTTGAGTCGGAATCCATCAGAATTGGCAATTGATAGTGTCCGCGAGGCTCGCCCGCCACAGACCGATTTGACTGAGTCGACAACGAACGTTATTACCGCAACTCCTCCTACACCGTCATTGTTAGTACCTATAATTGAGACCCCAGCCCCTTCAGCATCAGTATCATCACCGACCGAGACTTCAGCGTCTCCAAACCCCGCAGCTCCAGAGTCCCTTGGGATTTCTACGGCTTCTTCCATGCCTTTACCATCCATTGCCCCTATTCGAACTGCCTCTCTTCACTACAGAGATCTTCGAAATCGGCATTTTTCCGCAATCGTGCAAGACAACCCTTTTCCGCCTCATTCTTCCCATGCACTATCTGCATACCCCACCAATATGCCTCCTCCACCCACACTCGCGCATCGCTCGGCCTCAGACCACGGACACAGTAACACGTTTATTCTCCCTTCGCCAGCATCGAGGAAGAGACCTCCTACTGCTCCTGCTGCCCCGGTGTTAGCACCGAGGATCGAACTCATCGAAATTCTGGCACCGGAGCCAACAACTCCCCCGTTTCCTTCTTTTACAACTTTACCTTCCCTCACTTCCCTGCCGTCTCCTTCGCACTCCCTTCAATCCTCTTCATCTTCTCCGCCTTCCCAACCCTCTCTTATTGAGCGCCGCCATCATGGAGGTGAGAATCCATTACGTGGAAGTCTACATATCCCTACTTCCATCATACCTCCAGCGATCCACTCAGCACCTCCTCCTTCATCATTCCCTTCTGTTCCTGGACCATCTTCTATGATAATGAATTCCCCTCCGTCGTCTTCTATGTCATTCTTTGATACTATACAGAGTCAGCCGAATGCGATGGACTTCTTGGACGAGTCTTCTGATGAAGATGCAGATGAGGACGAGAGTGAGAGTGGGGATGACGATAGTGCGAGTGAGGATGAAGAAGGTACGGCTGACAATAAAAACCATGACAAGGATGATGATGATTTTCGCACTGCGGAAGGAGAAAGCCCAGAAAAAGGAGGAGAAGTATCTGTTGCCCATCCGACGTTATCTTCTCTCTCTGCCTACTCCACTCCATCAGCCAGACGCCCATCAACAAGTCGTTCAAGTCACTCAAACCGCTCAGCCCGTTCGACTCGTACACCTCTCATGCGTTTAGGGAATCATTCCACACCATATGTCTCGCATACCTCTCTTCATGTATATGCCAAAAATACACCTGCATCATTCGGAGTTGCCGGAGGTGTTGGAGGTATCGGTTCTATGGACCACAAACAGCCTATTGGGAATATCCCAGCGAGCAAGCCTGCTAGGGAATTCTTCACAAAGAAGATGAGGGATGATGAGCAAGTGCTTGAGTCGAAGTGGGATTTATGGAGATATACAAGGCAGGGTGAGGGTACGAAGGGAGCAGCCGGGTCGGGAGTGGGAACAAGCGCAGATGTCAATACAGGGCCTAAGACAGGAGAGGAAGTCGCGGCAGGCCCGAGTTACTCGTATGCGTACTCTAGCCATCCATATGCGCGCGCGTACGGTCCTCATCATTCGAGGAATCACTCAAGAGATGCGCCTTCGTCTTTTACGGGACTTCCCGTTAGTAGAAATCGTACAAGGGCGACGTCCTCGTCCTCAGATCGTGGATACGGGTATGGGTATGGAAGTCAAAGCGGTCGGCAAACGCCAACTCGAGGTCTTACTCAGGCTCAGCAGAAGATGGAGTCTAAAAAGTTAGATGGGATGTTGAAGATGCATATGGAAGCTGAAAAAGATCAGATGAAGAGGATGGCGGAGAGACTCAAACAGACGCAGGGTGGAGCTACCTCTAATGTTAGTTCAGAACGCTAAAGCGTCTGATGTTATCAGTGGTGCTGAAGGTACAATCTATCAAATTTCATTTTTCTACTGCTTTTTATTCATTCTTCCTCAATTTCTAGAATTCCTCCAGTGCATCGAACATTTCTTGTCGAGTGCCTGCTTATGTTGCATGGTACATATATGCTTGCTCACATCCCTCATTCTCTCCTTTCCGTTAACGTCGCATGTCTCCTTGCAAAGATGTGCTTCTTTCTCTGTTGTGCTCTATCACATTTTCGCAATGATTTCCTCCTTGTCAAAGCTCACATTTCCACGTACGGCCTTGTTACCTTCTGGAATGCAATTACCACGTTTATATACGCATTTATGACCCCGCGACCTTGACCATATCTACAATCTACCCATGTACATACTACCGTTGAATCTACCTTCAATTGTATATATATATTGTCTTCAAACCTCCTTATCCATTCACAGGACACTTCCTTATACCGCTACTTTTGGCGATACCCATACTACATACATAACATGACAGTTCGAAGACACACGCACTCTGCAAGTCATTGCTCAGGGACGGACACGAGTGATAGTGTGAGTAAGCATCTAAAATTTGCCTTTGGCACTGGGCAGTAAGTAGTACAGTATAAGTTAGTAAAAAAAAACAAAAACCAATGCATTAAGAGGGAATCGAACCCCCGGCGGGTCGAAACTGGTGGTTAATTCCTAAATATGGCAACGACCCAGGTTACCACTACCCCATTAATGCATGAATGCCGAAGTGGCCAATGTGCGCCTCGAATCCAGAAGCAAACGTTCTGGGCAAATTAGAGAAAACCTACTATTCGTCTCTCCAGTCGTATTCCTAATCCCAGTGTCACGATCCTGCCGTGACTGTCGATACTCTACCGTCTGCTCCCCTCTCTTTACCCATCTCCTCCTCACTGGCTCTCTTCCACCCACAACATCCTCTATAAACACTTTAGCAGCTTGGAGAACCGTCAAGGCAGGTTCGAGGCAGGTGACATGGCCGGCATTGAGTAGAATTCTTCCTTGCTGCCTCGGGGCACCACGTTTGTTGTACACACGATGTGTTACTGCTTCTGCTCCAAGTCGAGGAATGTCTGAGTCTTCCTTATCTTCCGAGCCTATTCCCAACAGGCTTTCTTGATTCCTGACGAACTCAATCAACGCCTCCATACTCCTGAACCAATCCACAATCGAGCCCTCGTTAGGAAAGATAATCGGTTCATATTCGTATAACGAGTCCCCAACGTAGAGCATCGGTAGTTCGGATGTAGGGTCATAGACCGTCAGAGAGTCGGGTGTGTGTCCTGGGGTATGAAGGATAGTGATTCGGTTTGAGATTGTGTGACCATGCGGAACAAGAGTTGGTTTGTACTTTGGAGTATGGATGTCGAGGAAATTGCAAAGACTGTGCTCCGGGATATCATGAAAGAATTCAGGATAATGAGAAGACGCGAGGATGGGAGAGTCGGAACTGATGAAGAAGGTTGAAGTGTTGAATAAACAATCAAGCAGTAGTCGACGTACAAATGCTCCACACCCACTTCGACGGGCGTTGAATCAGCCGAGCTAGAATTATAGGTAGAGATATTGACTCACGAATATGATCATAATGGCAATGTGTCAATACGACGATATATCCCATCCTTCCCTGTCTATCATCATCTCCATTCAAGGGCTTATTATCATTGTCCGTAACTTCAACCGTTTCAATAAACTCCCGAAGACTGCTTATTCGAGCGTTGGGATCATTGGACGCTCCTCCACAGCCTGTGTCAATCAGAATGATTGTACCGTGCCTCGAGCTCAGGACAGACTTGGATTTGGCTGGGATTATGATTGCGTAGACATAAGGATGCTCGGAGTAGATGTCGTCAAATTCTTTGATGAGGAATGTGCTAGACGTAAGCCGGGTCGCATTAAAAGCACTGCGTTTGTTGTCATTAGCCATTAGTTGCAGAGAGATGTCGAGTTGAAAGCCACGGGCTCGCTTTGATTGGTCCCCCAAAGGCAGAAACTATACCTCTTGGACGTTTTAAGAGTTTTAGACGACATAAATCGCACTATACTCACACGAGCTGCCGCTCTCTTGTTGTTACCTCTGAAATGCTCGCTATGCAAGTTTTAAGTTTTCAAAGTCCAGAAGCAGGAACCTATATCCCGCTCATGGCAAAACTATAAGTGCTGCCAGGAAAAGAGTCGCGGGTATTTGCACATGCTTGCGTTTATATTTGAACGTGACTGCGTAAGCCAAGCTTTGACCTTGCCTTATAGGTCGACCTATCCTTTCTTTCGCGTTGGCGCATCCGTCGTGCAACCAGGCGCAAGTACGATTCTCGCAACAGTAGCTCAACTGCTCCCCCCATAACTGGTGCTGTAGGTTTGGCATTAAAATTACAATGAATCAACCCGCAAAAACAGACGAGATCAAACCATCGACACCAGCTGCCCAACCTATAACCCCTCAGCCCGTTCCAACAACATACAGCACATGGGCTCGTCAGTGCTTTACTCACTGGCTTTTCCACATGATTTCTGACGCGTTTTGAAATCAAACAGACATCCCCATCGATCCGGCTTTACAAGCACAACCAGCACCAGGAACAAGTCAGGTCACTCAAGCTGGACAACCGACACCAGTATACCAATATTCACCATACTCTTATTATCAATCCTACCAAAATCAGTATGCAGCTATTCCCCAGGTGACAACAGCGTCGACTCCGACGCCAGTTGTGGCTCAGAGTAGTACGCCCACACCGAGTGCTGCTGCAAATTCAATAGACACGTCGGATATCAACACTCTCAGGGACGCTCTGGGTAGTACTGGTGTTGATTTACGAGTGCGTAACATCATCCGACTTTGCATTTCATCATTTCATCTCATTCAATCCCAGGCCGAAGAGGAATCCCTTCAGCGAACCTCCGATAGCAGTCTAACCTACCGTTCCTACGAAGACCGAACTCGGAAACAACCCTCAAAACCCAATTTCAACACAACCTACCTTTCCAACACCATTCTTCAGATAACTTCCGCTCATAAACTCACCAACCCACATCCTTCCGCAGACACCGTCAACTACCTCGCTCTCGCTCTTCGCGCGAGACTCCAAGACCTCATAACTGCAATGATCACCGCCGCTCGACACCGAACCGACACGCAATTCGACAGTGCACCGTCAATGTACGAGGACGGGTCACCGATGTGGAGTATCCTCGTCCGGTCAGACGTCGCCAAGCAGCTTGCTGCCCTCGAAAAAGTCGAGAGGGAAGAAGAAACAAAAATCCGACGGGAACGCAAGGAGCGCGCGGACATGGCAGCTGCGCAGGCTGCCGCTCTAGCTGCTCAGAGTGCCAGTTCATCGAACGGTGGTTCGGGTGGTGTAGAGGACGATCAGGATGGGTTCGGTGGTGGGGCGAAGAAGAAGAGGAAGAAGGACGGACCGGGGGTTACGGCGAAGAATATGTCTGCAGATGTGCAGAAGAAGATGTCGAATGCGGCGGCTAGTCATGCTGCCGGTCTAGCTGGGCGATATGCGTGGATGACAGCTGGTGCGTCGTCAACTCCGAAGAAGCCTGCTGCTGCCGCTATTCCTTCTACTCCGGCCATCTCTGCCACTAGTACACTAGGCGCCTCGTCAATAACGTTAGGTCCGACATTGACAACGACTGGTACGCCTGCTACCAGTACAATACCGACGGCAAGCACCACTGGAAGTGGCTGGGCCCGACCATACGTTTCTGCGACGAAAAAGGCCACAGATTCGCCACCACAGGAAACTTTCGGAGAAGATACAAGGACTGCGATAACCATGCGAGACGCGATGTTTGTAATTGAGAAGGAGAAGGGACATGGAGGAGGGAGAGGTGCTGCGAAGGGATGGACTTGAAGAGAAGTCTCGAGATGGCATCTGAATTTAATAATGACAGTGTACGTTACGGACAACACAGTAAATCTACTTGCTCATCTGTACAATTCCTACTCGCTGCTGTGAGATTTTCCAATTCTTGAACCTGAACGTCTTTCCCGTCAAATGAACTGGACTAATACTCTACACCTCGAAACTTCATTTCGCATTCTTCTACCTGGTTTACCGAAATCTATCCACCAGAAACCGGACAAATCACCGCAACTTCCATCCCATCTTTCAACTCCACTTTCGTCAAATCCTCATCGTCAACCATCTCAGCATCAATGCTCCACTGACTAGAATCGAGGATTTTCCGTAGAGCTTCTCCGACAGCCTGTCCTTCATTGTTTCCTTTCTTCCTATCACCTTCGCTCGTCCCAGTCGTTCCACTGTTGAGGCTGCTCTGCGAATGCCGCTCAATCAATAATTCCGTCAGCTGCGAAAGGTATAATCCTTTCTCCGGAATCGGAACCAGCTCGTCTGTGATCCCGAGGGTGGTAGAAGCGGCGGCAAAGTAGAGGACTGTGATATGGGCTGAGAAAGACATGGTCAATTCAGGGGCAACTCCGCGGCTGATAACCCCCGGATTTGTTTGCGATGCAACTAGTCTTGGAAGTACGAAAAGTAAGTAGTATATACCAAAAACTGACGTTACAAGTATTGTGCAAAAAACAGTCGGTCTTGTCGACGTGTCGGCCCGGGTTACCGACAACCCTCCACAGTACAGTCTGCATCGTTGACAATGACCACGATCACTCGAAAGTTCCCTTGGTTCATACGGGACACAGGTATCTCTATAATAGGAACAGTGCGTGCTCTGTTATCCTCTCTATCCCAATTCTGATGCGACCCAGGAATGCTACACGTCTCTAGTCGAAAATCTCGACATCCAAGATGTTGAATGCCTCAAATACTCTCTTTCTAAAGCTTTGGGAATCGGGATCGTGGTCGGTGGATCAGTCATGAAGCTTCCTCAGCTGCTTCTCAGTGCGTAAATTCTCAAATGTGATATCAAAGGCGTGATTCATATCCGTCTAGTTCTCCGGGGTCGTTCAGCAAGGGGGCTGTCCCTTTCAGCTTACGTTCTAGAAACCCTTGCCTATGGCATAAACCTATCTTACTCTTTTAGAAACATGTTCCCTTTCTCAACATATGGCGAGAACCTCTTCCTGACCATTCAGAACATTCTCATCACATTCCTCATCATATTTTATACACCCTCACTCCGCCTTGCTCGCAGACGGAGAAACGCTCAACTATCATATGCCTTCTTAGGTCTACTTATAGGCGCCGCGGCTGTCTGCTACTCTTCAATGCCAATACTAGCATTCCTTCAACTCTCCACTCTACCTCTCTCACTCACATCAAAGGTCCCGCAAATACGTCAAAACTACCGCTCTAAATCAACCGGTCAGCTCAGCGCATTCGCCGTATGCTCACAAATCCTCGGATGCCTAGCGAGGCTATTCACTACCGCGACAGAAGTCGGGGACTGGCTCGTTAGTGCCGGGTTTGCACTCGCACTCGTGTTGAATGGTGTTCTGGGTCTCCAATTGTGGATGTATTGGGGGAAGGATATCGATGAGCGTAATGATGATTATGGCCTTGATGATGCGGTAGCTAAGGACAGAGCTAATACAGCTTCCTATGCGCCTTGGCAAACACAGTCATTCTATCGAATTGGGACTCCCCCGTTGCCTACTACTACTGGGAATATTAGAAGAGGGACACGAAAAAGCGCGGCCGATCTGGTGTGAATGGAAGCACTAATTGTATCTTGGTTTTACTGCTCAGTCGGCTCATGTTGGACAAGGCCTTGTTCATCGACGTC